GCAGCAGTAACAGCAGCACAGTACTGTAAATAAAAAGCAAACGCAGCAGCTGCCTTATGATTCCCTTATCACCAAGAGAAACTGCAGGAGCAATCTCACTATTACAAAAAAGCACCCCAAAATCAAGCGGTCAAAAAGACAGTGCCAATACTACCGTTGCGGGGTGTTCCGCATACTCCTGAGGCTGTTCACTGTGGCGGCCTCTGATGACTTTGCACCAGATGTCACTATCTTACGGCCCAGAGGCCCGCACGCACACTTAGGCTCGCTGGAACAAGGCAAGCTACGCAATGCAAAGCTGGTTCCAACTCTTCAAAAATACACAAAGCTGCATTAAATACTTGTTCCTGTGTATCAGTCGTTAAATGGTTTTGTTCTCACTATGCAGGGAGTGAGCTCTTTTACTTAACTACCTCCATATTCACTTCTGGTATTCCTCACTCCAGTGCAAATCTGGAGAAAATCAGAGCTAATGGGAGCACTACCCTGCTGTAAATGAGCAGCATTTTACTTGTCATTATATCCCTGATTTTATAGTCAATTTGAACACTAAATAGGACAAGACATAAAATAGAAACATCATGACCATGCGGTTGAAAAGTGTGGCAAAGTCCTGGCCGTATAGGCCAAATTTCATGCCAGCTGCAGTTTTGTCAGCATCTCACCCTACTTACTTGTACCAGTGTTGGCCATGAATCATCATCTCCAGAAAATTTTCCAGTACCACTGGAAGATCAAACAGTCTACACAAAACGCAGAGGCTATACAGTAAGTGTGCCATTATCTATTTTGAAATGTTAGAACAATTAGAATTTATCTAAAGTTCACCATGGCAAAAATAACCATCCCTTTTTTGGAGTGCTTAAATGAAATGTCAGAGTAAATTCTGACAAGCACAGATTGCTAACTACCAATAAAAATCACAACTGCCATTCCCCTCTTTGTCCTGCAATACTTCTTCCTGACCCTTTCCCTTGTGTTGATACACGTGAGTGATCAGGAATTCAATCATATTGGCAAGCGGATCATGTTAGAAGAAAACTGAGGGGGAAAAAAGCACAGTCCTTTCAGCTCCACAGTCAGATACTTTGCATGACCACTCAGGTATCTACACAACCAGGACGTGGGTGCTGGCAGAGCAATAACTTGATAGAAGCTTCTCAAGCAGAAGATTCTGTGAAACCTCGATGCCTTTGTAATTCTTTAACATTAGGTCATAACTTTGAAAATTATTTTCAGAGTGATAGGTCTGTGGGGAGATACTGATAAAAATAACAAGTGGTTCTATCTTCAGTAGTGATCTCTGAAGCATCTGAAATGATTCTGAAATCCTGTTAATACTTACTACATGTCTCAATTTGGAAAGCACCTCTGCCTGAACACAAACTATGTAAAACATCAATACTTAGCATCTTTGACTGCAAAATCTTGTGTTTTGGACATAAAACCTGAAAAGTGGTGACATTTGCCCAAGGTAACAGTGGTAGGAAGTTGGACATTAGGCCAAACATTCCACAGGACAGGAAGGAGATGACGCTCTGCAGCCACCTGCGAAATACCTTTCTATAGACCTTCACGTTTGTTTACCTCAGATAAAGCTGAAGAAAAGTGATTGCAGTTTTTGTGCATTAGGTGATACGCATTTCCTCTGAATTCTTTTCCAAGCTCTTCTACTATTTTTTCTATGTCATCTTCCATAAAGTCAGTACTGCCTAGAACCACGGCCTCTCTAGAAGAGAAACAGAGTAGAAGGTCATCAGACTTCCATGATACTGGTGGATTACTGCTCATACATTGCTCAGAAATCACCCCACTGCGGGTGGAAAGATCTTTCTGACCTAGAATAATATAGATTCTTTCTGTTCCATTTTAAAGCACCACTTTCATCTTATTCATGATTATTTCCTTGCGGATTGTCCACCTGTAGCTCACAAGTTCTTTGTAACTTAACTCCGACAGACGCTGGATGCAATTTTTTCCTCCTCTGCAGAGGACATGGTTTCTAAGAGACAGCTGAGAACAGGTAAGAGCTTGTAATGCAGGGAGGGATCAAGACAATCACCAGGAGAAAGTTGAAAAGAGATATGGGGAAACCTTAAAGAGCAACATTTTTTCAGCTTTTTCTTTTAATAAAAAATTCCTTGGAAAAATTACCCCATTTTATATCCTGTATGAATAAAAAAAAGATAGCCACAAGTCCCCTTAGTTTGTACACATCTATGGAATTTAATGGTATGTTAAAAATAATGTCATCACCTCTGTCCATCTTTCATTTCTAAGTGAAGAAAACACACTAATCTCTCAGAAAGTCCGAAATCCTGTAGTAGCATTCAACACATCTATCCTCAAAAATAAATGCCAAAAGTTGTCTTATTAATATGCCTTCTCAATAGCAAGAAAATTGGTTATCTTTCTTACTTAAATTTAAATGTTTCCCCCAGTTCAGAAGCATTTCCTGGTGAAATTTCAAATATTCCAGAAAAAGGGTATGGATGACCACCATAAGCAAATTCTGAAAGAGAAAGCTCAGATTTAACAAAAATAATACACAACGACAATAAAGAACAGGAGACTTCACTGACTGGAAGATCACCTCACAAGGATCTAAAGCTAAAAACCAGACATCTTCATTACAAGGTAACAAATGCAAGGAACTGGAAATTAATAGTTTTGTTGGTTATTAGTCGACCCAGGTAAAAACTGACAGGAAATTTCCTACATCGACGTACAAGTTTAACTTGAATAATTTTACAGCAGGTATCTATTGTTTTCATTTTATATGTTACCAGTGTTCTTTCTACATGCTTGTCTTTGAAAGTCCACTTACATATTTATAGATCAGGGATTCAAAGTACTGCACCTTCAAAGGTCTGATGGCACTTCTATTCAGTACACCCTACAGCTCTAAGTGTGGCAGCGAGTAGTGGCCTAATAGGTTTATTATTTTCTTGGTTTGCAAGTGTTCAACTGTCCCGAGTTCCTTCCTATAACAAGAAAGTAAACCAGTCCATGCATCTGAAGTCTGCACGTAGCATCTGACGGCATAAGTACTCAGAGCGCAGGAAAATATCGTGGTGCACTTTAGCTTCCTTCTGTGTCTGTAAGATAACACAGCGTGCCACACCCAGGGCGCAATAAAAAGCTTTAAGCATGACTTCACGCTTCCTTTTCTCAAAACTTGTAACACACCATCCAAGTCTAGCGTTCGGTTTTGTGGATAATCTTTTTTACAACAGGTTAATAAATAAAGTTGATGTACTTTGAAAAATGCAAGTCATTGTTCTAGCAGGGGTATGACCTGCCATGTGAGAAAGCTGTTACAATCTGAACAGGAAGGGAGGCACATGTTTTTGGCACAGCTCAAGAACTAGGATTCAGGCACAGCACTATTCAGAGTCAGGTCTTTCTGGTTTGGATTAAAAAAAAAATAAATCCAAAAACATTTTAGCGATAAGCATTGTATTTTGTCAATTCTGTTGTTTTTGTAACACTTGCAAACCCAATTACAATGGGACCATTATAGCAGCTGAAATATCTATATATTAAGACAACTTTGTGCAACATGGTCTTTGGATCGCACGCCACACCTTCTTGGGTTTCCCCTCACCTCCCCAGCCACAATCCAAAACAAGAACAAAAGCGGATTTTTCTTCTTTAAATGGACCATTCCTAGCAACGCCATCACCTTTGAGTGTCATTACGCTGCCAGGCAGGAACACCTCAGACATGAGCCTGTGCTCAGAAACACCTTCTGGCACCCGCGGGGAACTCAACGTGTCCCCAAAGTACAGCCTATTTAGCAAAATTGGAACACATCGCTGTATTTACCACAAGTGTATCTTTTGCAAACAGTATGCATGACACGTATTCCAAAGAAACTGTCTCTTTAAACCAAACCAACCTACCAGTACAGAAGAGACTGTTTCCTGAGCATTATGCAATTTTACGTGCCTATCTGCAACGGACTATTGTTTCTATAGTGAAAATTTAACTCCTTGCACTAAGTGCTGGCAGAATACTGAGGAAACGTGATTCAGCCTTGCTTACAAGCAGCATGTATTTGTTTTAATAACAGGTATTTCAAAACATAAAGATTTCTATGCCTAGCTGAATAAAGTGCACACTTTTTCATAGTTGCACAGCTTGATATAAGAATGCCAGATGACTACTGGATTATTTATATCCAAGGTTTTGTTCCAGAGGCAGAAGAGATCTGAACTTTAAGAGAAAACTGATGAACAGGTTTCAGGAGCCAGACTTCCCTCATTACCTGAAAAACGTTCTTTAAAAAAACAAACCAGTATTACCAGAACAAAGAACATATTATGCTTTTCTTGCTCGTACCTCGACCATACACCTCGATACCTGAATGGAACACTCCAATTCCAAGGGAAGAAGTATATTCATTCATCCAATACTAGAAGGAAAGAAGAAAACAAAAAAAAGGCCTCTCGTTAGTTTCCAATACAGATTTGTCTTTTGGTAGCACTGACTTATATTTGTCCCACACATCAAAAGCGTAACACTCCAGCACAAAGTGAAAACGTACAGCTTATTTTATGGGAACAGAACATGCCATTAAAATTTGCCAACTGTACACAGTGAATTAGTTCTATTAGTTTCTACTGCAGTGTTTTAGTGCTGTCAACATCTGTCAGCCAAGCAGACCCTGTACCTGGGAGAAATACACATCAGCTTCTGATGTACGTGTGTCCGTACAACAGGTGCAAGTCTTTTGCATAAGTCTAACACCAGTTTCCAATATATTGCTTCTATTGTAGCCTGTAGCCAAGAGATATTAAATGCATTTCAAATAAAACCAGGAAGGGATAATTAAAAAATGCCAAGAAAAAAAAATTCCCCTAGTGCATTCTTTTTCAAAAGCAGCAGCAAGTGCCGATCAGGAGCTAACTATTACCTCCAAGACCTTTAAGATCACAGAATTCTGGAAAAAGGAAAACCTCAAAGTTACTGTCTTTCCTTGGCTACATCACCACCCTCAAACTGTCAGTTTCCAAGCAGTAAAAATTTTCTTGACACATTATTGAAGAGGAACCTCAAAAAAAGGCTAAAAAAACAAAAAAAAGCAACTCAGATGTGTCCTTATAACTGAAATTGGCCAGCAAGTAAAACATCTCAAAAATACAAGGAAAACATTATTTTGTCAGTTAGTTCGTACCAGGATATTTCCTCTCAGGTCATCTGGTCCCAAAGGGCCCCCTGCACACTTCTACAAAGCAGACTTCAAAAAGTCAGCTGGCAGGACACACACTGAGGCAGTACCCCCAGCAAATTAATATTTGTTTAGCCATCAGAAAGCAAAAGAAGCTATCATCTTTACATACAGTAAGTGCTTTCTGATGTGAAGTCACTAATAAAATAGCACAATCAAAGATAAAAATGTAAAAGGTTACAGGTGTCATACTTTAAGATGTGCTAGCTGGAGTTATTGCATAATTTATAGGGCCATGACAAACATTCTGGTGTCTAGTGTTCATTTCTGAAAGCTAGTTTTCTCCCAATAAAAATGATACACTAAACTTTGGACTGAGAATATATTAATGAAAATCAAGACAGGTTAAATGGCAAAAAAGGCAAGTCAGGCCAAAGGTTACAAATTTACAGGCATAACATACAGATGTTTTTGGCTTTTACAGGGATCCTCATTCTAAGTATCATCAACCCTAAAATAAATGGTCCCTCAAATTTGGTTACAAGCAGTTGCCAAACATGACCACATGATTTTTCCAGCTTAAAATTCACAGTTGTGGCAGCAGGCACAGGACACAAGTGACTATCTGGATAACAAGATGCTGAGGATTTGACATTTTCTTCTATAGACAAGCCAGTCGTGGGAAATTTTGTCAACATGAATTAACAGAAGACAGATTTTGCTCCTTATATTTATTTAAAGTTAAGGCTCACTGACATCTCTGGATAATTTTTTGCTTAACACTAAGTTTTTAATTTCTGCCTTTGTCAATGCATTGCTATGTTATCTAGTGAGGTGTGGATGATGATATTAAATTATCTTAGTCTATTTAAAGAGCTTAGCAGTTCTTTCCTTTCTCTGTGCAGAAAAGAGCAGAGAGATAGTCCATATGATCAAACTATATCCAGAAATATGCTGAGTTAGATTCACTTTGTACAGAAAGACACAGGAGGGAAGAAGAAGAGGGGAAGGACGGAGAACAATATTAAGACCATCCTACTAACTTAATGGGTTTGTGAGCATAAAAAAAAATAGATTCTGTCACTGAGGTGAAATCAAAGCCCCCAGGAAAATGGAAGAGCTACTTCAACATAAACTTATTTCGGTTCTGGAGCCAGTTCTATCCCACACTTCAGCAGCTGACCATTTCAAAATAGTTTTAGGTTTATATTTATAGTCAAAACTGTAGGCACATCCAACATACAGTTGTCAGCAAAGGAAGAAAGTATGTTTGCCTAAAGAGAAGGTGCATCCAAATGAACCTTATCTAGAATCGAGCTAGGCAGGGTCCCTGGTGCTCTTTCATCTCCTGGACACTCATCCAGCCAGAAAGCTCTGGGTATGGCCTCTGAATTCCAAATAACCTACACAACACATACGCATTGGATCTGCTGATGCCAAGCAAGGTTATTGCTGCTCTCTGAAAACAGAGCAGAAATTACACAACATATCCCATAAGCAGCCCAAGGAATAAAGCCTAGTTTGTTACTAGGCAGAAAAAGAGAAAAAAAATTACTCGTGTTCCTCCCCTCCCACGAGGCTGTGGAACCTCATGCAAGGTACTGGGAGAAGACAGAAAAGTGAGTCAACTGCCCTCCTCATCGATCTGTACAGAAGCAGACGAACGGGACGGAAGGCTGCTCTGACAAGGTGTTCAGGAAGGCTGGTGCTATCCAAGCAGGCATTCCTCCTTACTGGTTGTGCCACCTAAATACATGGGGCTCACTAGACGACAAAACCTGAGCACTGGTGGCAAATTAAACAAATGTTAGCGGCTTTGGAAGAAGTGCCTAAAGCAACCTGGCACTTTGCTTAATATTTCCAGTAAGAATGGAGTAGGTTAATTGAAGATAAAAGAATTTCAGCTAGGCAGAATTACTTTCCCCCTAGGAACAGTAATTATATCGAATTACTACTTAATTTGCATCAGCTATTGGAGGGTTGGTCAGATTTCCTCATTGAACAAAATGCCTTATCTCACCAAGCAAAGAAAGGCAGGACAAATGCAACTTAAAGTACGCTGAATTTGGCTACAACTGAAAAGGTAGTATAGGACTTAGAAAACAGAGGTTTAATTAAATGACATCCATATAGCCTGCTGGTTCAGTAACATGCCATAAGTTCTGGAATCCTAAACTGATCCCAGAAGCTACATCCTTGTTTCCATTACAAACTAGATTCCTTTCATTTAGTCTTAAAATTAGTTTTCCCATAGTAGAATGTATAGAAGCTGCATAATCCCACATCCTCAATATTTTTCAATAAGTCAATCATGTAAAACAGGAACTCCTATTTAATGCAACTATAAGAAAGAAAATATTGGAGCATTTTTCAACGTGCACAATAAATTCATGTCACTGAAATGAAAGAAAAACACTAATCCCAGTACTTCATTACTTCCTTCAGAGCTTTCATTTATGTTAGCAGTTTAGATCCTTATAGCCTTATTTGACAAAGGAAAAACCAGGATGCTACTTTGGGCACAAAAAAAAGCAGTTAGTTAAAATGAAACTATGAAGTACTCCGGTTCTCGAAACACAATATCAAAGTTTTCACCCTACCCTTTTAATGATCATAAAAGATTTTTCAAAGGCATGAATTGCAGCACATAAACATGCCCTTAAGCTTCTCTCCCTTTGTAAAGTTACCAGTACTTCAAAGTCCACTTTCTTGTACAGCAGCATCCCCCACTCCCTTACCCTTTGCTTTTATCAAAGATTTTCACTTTTTCAAGCTCTAAGGACAATGGAAGGGTATATGCTCCAAAACCAACCAACTCAGTCCTGTAAGGAGTTTCAACAGTAGCAAGGTCACCTGGTATTCCTCCCGCACACCTAAGCGATTGTCTGGGAAACGAAGCTACAGTTAGCACTCAAGTTACAATAAAGCTGTTCACATGACTGCTGCAATTCTAGTAGTGATGATTCTGTTAAACAGGTGCCTAAAAGTGGTCTCTTGTTCCAAAAGAGAAACAAAAAACCCCAATCCCAAATATAAATGACAAAAAAACCCCTAGCCCACTTCCAAATGACATGAAATGTCGGAAGCAAACTGCAAACCTGCTAGAGCCTCAATATACAGTGGGCAGGATCCAATGAATAAACAGAACTAAGCAGCTACTACAAAAGACTCTTCCCTTCTCCCCCCAACTCTTAGTGCCCCCAGACAACGCAGCAGCATTGATTTCAGCAGGTTGTCTAGATGCAGTAATGTAACTGCTATGCAACATGAAAGTGAGGCCTTAGTTTAAGGTCCTGCTTCAAACAAGTTTAAAATGGGCTGAGACATCATTCAGCGAACGAGTCTGAGCAGGATGTACACTGACAGTGTCTTTCAGACACTGTGGGAACCTCCACTTCTCCTCCCAGTTTAAAAGAAACCAGTTTCTCTAATGGTCAAATAATGTAGGCATCGTTATAAAACAATATACAAGGCTGAAGTAGGATACAGAAATATTTTGCTTAGCGGTTTGAGCTTACACTACGTATAATCTGTGGTGATGTACAGCTTCAACAAATACCACAAGTGCACAGTGATGCACAAAGAGCCAGACCTGCATGTTATCCAACGTCTGCAAATAAATGTGCTCGCTCGCTTGCTTCTTTCGGAAAATAAGTTCCTTCCAGGGATGGTGGCTTTAGAGACTATGCTACTTTGTGATGTAGGCAGCGCCCTGCTAACCACGACAGGACAACTAGCGGCACCCAATGTGTCCTAAGGAAAAGTATGACACTAGTTTTTAGCAGCACAACCTTCCTGTAGCCTTTTTTCCCCACCTGCCCTCCTATCAACTGTCAGCCTTCCTAGGATGGCTGGACTAAACCCAATCACAGTAATTCAGTTCTGGAGGAAAAAGAAAGGACAATATGGGTCGCAGCAAAAAAATCTAACGAGTAAGAGATGAAGCAGAACCACGTGAATGAAAGAGTAGACTACCACAAGAGAAAAAGGACAGGCACGCTGGAGTCACACCCCACCAACGCCATCATCCAAGTGGGAACAGTTTCTCGCAGAGGCCATGGCATTACTTTTTGGGCAGGCACTTACACAGGAGAGAGTCCATCCTGTTAGTTTTCACAGCCTGACTGTGAATTTGGCCCAGGTGACACACTGCATGGGTAAGCAAGTCTTCCGGAGAACACTGGGTCTTCCATTCTGAGTCAGAAGTGCGTCAAGCCTTGACTTCAAAGATACTGCCT